AATTGGTGGTGGGCTGGTAAGCAATCTGATCACCACATTAATATTGAGAGGAAAATTACATGTTTACTAATCGTTGCAATGGCAAGACAAACAATTCAATCTGACTGTGTGGCTGTGGATTCCTACTGAGACTGGGAAGAGGGGACGAGAGGGAAAAATTAATATTTCATAATCACAGATTTGTTTATGAGCGCACGCGAGAAAGTGACATGAGGGAAAAAAGAGAGACACCAAAGTGTGTGTTTGCTTTCCTCTGTGTCCCATTCACAAAAAGAAAACGTCACATTATAATATGAATATGTTCTGCTTATAATTTGACAGACAGATTCAAAGGAGAGTATGGATTTAGGAGCGATTCCAACACTGCACATGGTTGAAGCTCACGGCTGCATATACAACCTGTTCTCACTCCCAAAGCGGCAAATACAGCTGCTTGGTCAGTGGCCATCCACTTCAAACTATGAATTGGGTGGTACCCCTGTAGTGTAATGTTTTGATGTGCCACGCAGGTATAAAGAGTGCCTATAAACTAGTTAGGGAGGAAGTTGACATAACTTACTTAAGTTATGTAACTTATTTTAACCCAAACCACAATCTTTTCCTAAACCTAACAAGTCACTTTGGTCGCTAAACCTAACTAAAATGTGGCTGTTTTGTAATGTTAACGACTTGTTTTATTTAAATGCGGAGTCCTGCACGTGCAAAACTGACTGCTTGAGGGGTACGTAGAGCATCACAGTTTGTAGTGTGTAGGGCCACTGACCAAGCTGTCGTTTTTGACAAGTTGGAAGTGAGAACATGTTGGCATATATGAGAGTGGGGAAAAAGCCTCAGAGCGGAAATGCTGTTATTAATCACAGTGCAAGCGTTGATTCATCTGTCGTGGAGGCAGTTTGGAAGATGGACTCTATTTACTGCTAAAGCTGTTTGAGGAGCTTTGGGAGGCAGCCATCAATCTCTTGGCTATCTTGAAAAGAAGGAGCCAATGCACAGGCATCAGTTTCAATCACCTCCTAGAGACAGGTGGTATGGTAAGCTGCTGCACAATAGTTTTTTCTTCACTCCTTCTCTTCTTTTCTTCCTCAAGGTGAAGTTTTCCCCCCTGGGGAACCATGTTATTAATGTGTTTTATGATAATAATAATAATATCCCCTAAAAATACACACTGCACCCTACCCTCTTGCTCCCTTGCTGTTTGGCACCCTGTGTTCCTAATTAGCATCTTCAATTAACTCATGTTAATTGCCAAACATGGAAAGGTGGAGGAACCTGGCAAGATGGCGCCACAGGGGGCAGTTTTGTAAATGAGTGGTGGTGTAATGTAGAATCAGGCAGGTACAGAGGGGATTGTAGTCAAAAGCGTCTTTAACCTCAACCTACAAAGACTTGCCATTATGTAATATTAGCTTGTACTGACAAGACATTGTTAAAGGCAAAGTGCGAATGTTGTTTTTAAGTACAAATTGGTTCTGTGTAGTTAAACAATCACACTCCCCCCTACCATCTTTCTTCATCTGAGTCGATGGGGCCTATTACCTCTGCAGGGGTCTAATGGTAGCACATTACCATCCATTACTTCCTCTTTGTTAATATCATTTTGGTTTTGTTTAGCATCTTAGGGGGTGTTGTCAGTATTGCTCTGCACAATGTAGAACACTTAATGACTGATTTTGTTTTGCTTTTTGGATCATTCTTGATATTTTTTGGTCTGCACAAACTAAATACACAAGAGAAGGCAAGCTACCCCATTACTTTTACCTGATGTAAACAAATAATTTTGACATATTACCGTTTAATCATCACTGTAAGGACCAAAACATTAAAACACAGCTTGCCTTGGTGGGGAACTGCCTTCTCTGCAAAGCCTCTGTAGCCTAGTTCATTCACACAGCAATACTGGTCCATTAATGCAGTCAGCACTTTAGCATAACACCAGGGGAGCTCCCCAGCCCCTCAGATAGACTGGTATCAATTGGAGTTGCATGGCGTTAGCGGTGTAGAGTGCAGCCAGAACGGTCTAGGGTTATGTTCTTGAGAAATGGAAAGCCAACAAAGGTCAACAGTAATAGCTGATTTCACCTAAAATAACAGGCTGTTTTTTCTCTCTCCTGCAAATTTCACTGCAGTAACTTCTCTTGCCTCATTCTGACCTCTCCTTACCACACTATTACAGCTTTGACCCACTAAGGGCTGGGGGCTGTCATCACCTGACACTGCGTTTGTGTGTGTCTGCATGTATCCATCAAAACGAAATGGAAGTAAGCGGTCATGTAAGCAATTCCACTTCAGCTCCCTCACTCAAACAATGCCATCTCAGCATCAGAGCACAACAGCACACCTCAGCCTCCTCATACCCATTTACTATGCCCCATTTTTACCTATAGATACCTCTGTCACATGCTCAGTTTAACAGAAAGATGATTTTTTTAAAATGCTCATGAATATCTCAACATAGGTAAGAATTCATGTGCAGTGCCATAGCACATTTCCTTCTCTATCTGTGAATCACGTTTTAATCAAAACGGGGATTAGACAGATCAAGCTATTTGGATTTTGATTATTCTATGCCTCAGACCACAATGGTATGAGCGTACAATCAGTTAGACACTCCGAGACGAGAGGAAGTCTGATTACCCCTGATTAGAACAACTTTTCTCACTGCTTATCATCGTAGACGCTAATCTGAGTGCTGATTGGCTGAAAAGGATCTGAGCACAGGGCATTCTCTGGGTAGCAAGGTCAAAAGAGAAGACAGCGATGACAAAGTTCACATTCTGAACTTTTCACTCAGATTTAGAAAATTACTTGTACGAACGATAAGAGAAGTGGACATTTGGATGTTTTTTCTTATGTCTGACTTATCGTAATTACCATAATCAGTGATTATTAATATACAGGTTCTGGTCATATAATTAGAATATCATCAAAAAGCTGATTTATTTCAGTAATTCCATTCAAAAAGTGAAACTTGTATAATCTATACATTCATTACACACGGACTGATATATTTCAAGTGTTCATTCCTTTTAATTTTGATGATTATAACTGACAACTAATGAAAACCCCAAAATCAGTATCTCAGAAAATTAGAATATTGTGAAAAGGTTCAATATTGAAGACACTGGTGCCACACTCTAATCAGCTAATTAACTCAAAACACCTGCAAAGGCCTTTAAATGGTCTCTCAGTCTAGTTCTGTAGGCTACATAATCATGGGGAAGACTGCTGACTTGACAGCTGTCCAAAAGACGACCATTGACACCTTGCACAAGGAGGGCAAGACACAAAAGGTCATTGCTAAAGAGGCTGGCTGTTCACAGAGCTCTGTGTCCAAGCACATTAATAGAGAGGCGAAGGTAAGGAAAAGATGTGGTAGAAAAAAGTGTACCAGCAATAGGGATAACCGCACACTGGAGAGGATTGTGAAACAAAACCCATTCAAAAATGTGGGGGAGATTCACAATGAGTGGACTGCAGCTGTAGTCAGTGCTTAAAGAACCACCACGCACAGACTTATGCAAGACATGGGTTTCAGCTGTCGCATTCCTTGTGTCAAGCCACTCTTGAACAAGACACAGCGTCAGAAGCGTCTCGCCTGGGCTAAAGACAAAAAGGACTGGACTGCTGCTGAGTGGTCCAAAGTTATGTTCTCTGATGAAAATAAATTTTGTATTTCCTTTGGAAATCAAGGTCCCAGAGTCTAGAGGAAGAGAGGAGAGGCACAGAATCCACGTTGCTTGAAGTCCAGTGTAAAGTTTCCAGTCAGTGATGGTTTGGGGTGCTATGTCATCTGCTGGTGTTCGTCCACTGTGTTTTCTGAGGTCCAAGGTCAACGCAGCCGTCTACCAGGAGGTTTTAGAGCACTTCATGCTTCCTGCTGCTGACCAACTTTATGGAGATGCAGATTTCATTTTCCAACAGGACTTGGCACCTGCACACAGTGCCAAAGCTACCAGTACCTGGTTTAAGGACCATGGTATCCCTGTTCTTAATTGGCCAGCAAACTCACCTGACCTTAACCCTATAGAAAATCTATGGGGTATTGTGAGGAGGAAGATGCGATACGCCAGACCCAACAATGCAGAAGAGCTGAAGGCCACCATCAGAGCAACCTGGGCTCTCATAACACATGAGCAGTGCCACAGACTGATCGACTCCATGCCATGCCGCATTGCTGCAGTAATTCAGGCAAAAGGAGCCCCAACTAAGTATTGAGTGCTGTACATGCTCATACTTTTCATGTTCATACTTTTCAGTTGCCCAACATTTCTAAAAATCCTGTTTTTGTATTGGTCTTAATATTCTATTTTTCAAAGATACTGAATTTGTGATTTTCATTAGTTGTCAGTTTTAATCATCACAATTAAATGAAATAAACATTTGAAATATATCAGTCTGTGTGTAATGAATGAATATAATATCCAAGTTTCACTTTTTGAATGGGATTACCGAAATAAATCAACTTATTCAAAGTTCAGCCAAACAAATGTGTTTTCAGGTGCAATGCTGACTCCTAGGGATGTCAGTTAACATCATTAATAATTTGAGAAATCCAATTATATGTATTATCTTTTTCCTTGATTGTCAAAATTATTTTATGTTGTTTAACTTACAACATGATAGCCTGACCTATCTCCACACATTTTAGCTCTGTGCCGGCGCTGGAGAAAGGCCTAGATGAAACCATTATTATTCAGGTATACGGGGACAAAAAGTGCTGGCTTATTTGTATTTTTTTAAACCAATCACAATCGTCTTGGGCCCCAGGATGCAGCGTGGGTGCCCTTGTAAAATAGTGTTTTAGTTAGATTTCTGACTGAAATGGTTGGCCAATGGCAGGCTTATATGCACAGCCTACTTCATGTGAGCAAGACTAGTAACTAAAGTTTTTTAAATTAATCAAGCCCTTTCAATCACCTTAGGTAAGTTCAGAATTCTGGGCATGTATGTACAAATATGATTCACAACTTGTTTATTTTAACATTTTGTTTAGTCCTTACTCTGAGGAAAGTGAGGTCCCGACTGCGGTCGATGCTTGTGATCTCAAGGTTTCCCATTACGACTTCACAGTTCTCGTAGTATTTCCTCAGGGTGCGGTACTGCTGCTCCAGGTCCGACAGCGTGCTCAGCTTGTTCTCTGTACCAGCACATACTAGAAAAATAAGAGGCATAGACAGAGGGGGAAGAAATGTTAATATAGCTATATTACATATCAGGTTTGGTTTAGAAAAACTTTGTTTTGATTGAGAAAACAGCTTGAGCATTGACCATAAATACCACAGTACTGGTCACCTTGATAAGAATTTCTTGTAATGTGAATGTAGTCTTGATCTAGACTACCAACAAAAATAGAATGATCACTCCACACTTTGCTTTATTGTATAAATTAAACGCATTTAAACAGAGATTTCATATACAAAAAGCTGATTTGTGTTATTGTGTGCCAGACTTATGGTACAAAAAACATTCAGAGACTGTGTAGTGTAAACATGGGCCGTTGGACAGTGAGCTGCAGCACCTGCTCAGCTGGCCTTGGCTTGTAAGACTAGGAACTCACTGGACCCCACTGAACCCCAACCCCACCTCACATCGCCCCTCAGGGCACATGCAAGCTCTTTAGCAGCTAGCTGGGCTGCTCACTTGACAAGTAATTAAACAGACCCATTGCCCACCCATCACACACCTTGCTCCCACCCGTGATGACACAAGCCATCTGCCCAATCAGCTGCTTCTCCCCACTCTAGGATGAAAACACACATGTGCGCACACACATTGCAAATGCACATTGAGAAAAGCACATAAATCCTAAAGTCTGCAATTTTGCACTCGTTTCCTTAGGAGATTTTGTTGACCTCAAGTGTCCACTTACAACACAAGCTACATTCACAACATTATGTGACTTCTTATATGACTTGTAATTATATTCAAATTAATTTATTAGGATAATTCCCTTGAAATGGGCCATCCCATTTTCAGGGGGTGCTACAACTTTTTATCAATTGCATTGCATATTCATTCTTTTAAAGCATTATAATTTAGTTTAATTTGTATTGCCATGGGGGTGTTGTTTCTCTCTCACCTGCACCCTCTTGATGACAAAAGAGCAGTGTGACAGAGGCGTGACAGGTTCTTCCCTGAGTCTTGTCATACTGTCACCCATGAGCTGTTACCGCTCTCTCTGAACACTTCCACACTGAAAGATCCTTTTTGACACCATGCATTTTGATTCAAGATCCATTACACACCCTACTATACACTATATTGTCCTTTAAAAAAAAAAATCCCTCTGAATTCAACCTGAATGTCTGCACTCCTCTTGGCTAGCAATAATTTAGGCCAAACTCATTTACTCGATTCCTCCATACAGGCTCTCGGTGGCAAAATCTTTCAGTTCTATTTCCTATTTACTCCCCATCATTACACCACAGAAACATAGGGGGAAAAGATTATTCAGCCCCAAGGTAACATAGGCTGTAAAGACAAATGGGATTGTGGTTAAACACTTCCACATCTAAGCAGATATTAGATAAGTGGAAGTATTCCAATGTGACCTGGACAATACCCGTTATGAGCTGGTGGTGATTAGCTAGGTTGCACATAGCATAACATGCTGCTCAGGAATGATATATAGCAGACCTGGGTGTTTTCAATAACAGTTAGCGTAAGCTTGAGGGGAGCGGGGTGGAGGGTGGGGGGTCATAAAGTGAGGCCAGGTGTAATAAACTGTTATTGCACCCTCGGGGCAGGGCTCTGAGATCAGAGGAAAAGGGCATTGTGGCATGTGATGTCTGCTGAAATTTACTTTTTTATACCCATTTGCTTCCTCAAGCATGCCTTCAGTAAGCCTGCTGATTTTTTCAACCAGTCTGGAGCTAAGTGAAGTCTATATGTTTTTTATTTATTTATTCACCCGCACCCCCGCCACGTGTGATTTCTAATGAAACGCCTTTTGAAATCCTATAGCTCTGCATGAGCCTGAGAGGGTGCTGACTGCCAAGTGAACCACAACATAACCATCTGTGCTGTGTAGAGCGTATATAGAGGAAGTGTGAACAGTCGCAGGTTTACTGCTTGGTGATCCTACTGGTGATATGTCTGCATGTGTGTGCAAGAACGTGGACAGGCTGTAAATGATAGACCTCAGGATGTATTTTCCCCCTCTCACTGTATGATCGAATCCATTTGTCTCCATGCTCTGTGTGTTACATTTGAGCCTGTATTTCACAGCAAAGGTTGTATAAAACACAGTCTCTGGTCTTTATTTTGGTCTATTGAGGTGGCTTGCCTAGCCAGGAATACATGCTATAAGACACTGAGTCACTGACTGTTTAACATACTGCTTATGATGCAGGAATAGACTGCAAGAACAGATGAATCTTCATATTGTTTAAAACTTACGGCTGTTCTATAGAAGAGAATCCATCTTATCTGTCTGATGGATTTCACTGCCCGGCATAGTTGATGAGATTCAATGAGATTAAATGTCTCTGTCCCATATATATATATATTTATATATATAAAAATTGTGGGTAAATAAATGTAATTTGTTTGCAGTGAATTTCATCTCAGAAGTGATGGATTAAGGCAATGAATCATTATGATTCAAGATTTTCCAATATATGTAATTAATGAGAAGATTATGAGCCGATGGGTGGATATGCATATCTGGCTCAATTTATATGGTCTAGAAGGAAATTTAAAGTTTATTCTGAAATGATTTGACATAGACAGCAAGCTTGTGAGGAGCCTGCTCTCATTAGTATGGATAAGGCAAAATTGCATACTTATCATAAACCAAAGGTTTTGATACACATACCTATATATGAGTGGAGAAGCCAGGCTTTTCTCCATTTCCTCTGAGAATGAAGAGACTCTCCCTCACTATTCTCCATCCATCTATCTTTCTCTCACAAATCAGTCAAACTTTCTTAGGGACAGATGGGTTTGTAGCTGGCTTTAAATGCCTCCCATGCAGCCCCCATGTGTCTCCAACAGACAACCACCAGAATGCCTCCATCACTGTCTCTGACACAACGAGTCAGCCATTTAGGGCATGCAAACAGTGAGTTATTTACATAAAAGCAAAGAGATCGAAATGCCTTTGAGCCACATTTTTATCAATTTTAATTTCATAAATAACCTCATCAGGATTACATAGGCACTGCACTGCTGTGGTTTCTGCTCCTTGCCCAATTCATTTCATAGGTAGTGCACACAACAACTTCATCAATAGTGCCTTGTGCAATTATTGAATGCCTATAAAGCTGGTGAGTCTCTGAGGTTTATAGGTTCCTGCCACAAAGCCAGCAAAAGGTCATCTCAATAGCTGGTAAGTGACTGAATTAAATAAAGTTGGAAATGTCACTTCCACAAGTAAACACTGTCAATAACTGAGCTTGGCTAACGTGCCTTGAATAAACTGCAGAAACTTGTAGGAGTTGCTCTCAAACACCGGGGACAGGACAAAAATACCAAATTCAGCCACACCGAATAAAAAGTGCCACATCTGAGGTCGGAGCTTTGTCCCCTAATGTTCCCCAGATGAGCTTTGCTGGCTAAGTATGAGTTACAAGCCACTGCTTCTGATGGTAATCATGGCCCAGATTATCGTCCATCTGCTGAGCGGCTTAATAAGCATCAGAAACAATAACTAGATGAGTGTTCGTGATGACGGCACAGTCCAGTAACGCTAACCTCTCACCGCCCTCTGAGCTCTGGTCACCTACCAACAATGCTGTTGCTTTCTCCATATGGTCTACCATAAATTAGCATTCATGCTCTCGCTGGTGCACACAGCCCAAACACCTTGTGGGAGTTTTCCACAGTATGTAGACTGCAGCTGTCTGAATGTGAAACCCTTGCTTACAGAACCTGACTACATTGCATGTATCTATGTACCTTTTCTAGCAGTAGTCAGACGTTTTCAGCAAACAAGCTCTAATGAACTGACCATACGCTACCTGCCCATCACCACATGGAAGACAGACAAGACCAGCCACTGGTGGGTAAAGAAAGTCAAACATTTAGCAAGTTAAGACCTACATATTTTTCTCAGGATTTGCCAGATGCCAAAGTAGAGCTAAAAATCCAGTGAGAGTAAATATTCACCTTACATTTGTTAGCAGGAGCCTACTCCTAGAACCGGGGGGGGTGGCAACAAAGGGTGATAAAAAGCAATGCCAGATTAGCCCAATCAAAATGTGAGTGTACTACTAACCATGTGAATTACGTGCATAAACACCCTGTGCGAAGTGTGTAAACTAAAATGTATTTACCTTCCATTACATCCGTATGTTGAATATCATTACAATTCACACAGGCACAAATCTTTTTTATGTATCATCAATGTTTATTAATTGAGCTACTTAAACTTTGATTCACTCACATGCTTGTGTGTTTGGTGTGTTCAGTGTAGCTGTAAATGACACAGTCTGGTGTTGCAGGAAGGAAACAGAAGAAGGGAGTGGACGTTTTGAGTGGAAGCATGCAAACAGTAATCAGGCTGCCACTGATAACACACTACTGTCACCTATGTCTGTGTGCGTGTGTGTGTTGTTGTCTGTGTTGTTGTATGGTTAGTGTTGCCATTAGAGGAGTAAATTAACAGTTGCATAGTGTAGCAGAATGCATGTTTCAAATGTGAAAATAACTTATTTTCTAAGTCAGTGGTCCAGGGAGTCAGTCCATTGCCTAAAAAGTATGAAGGCTGCCCCCTATACCACTATTCTCTTTCACCACCTTGCTCCCTGTATCTCTGTAGGATGTAAACTCGTCTTCAGACAAGCAAAATCCATCCAAGACACAGGGGAGTGATTGGCTGACACTGACACACACCTCATTACCCAAAATCCTCAAGCTGCTTCTTCTTGACTGAATACGCTGCTGACAGTAGGTCTATTGAAAAGCCTTGTAGGTTCTGCACTGACCAGTATAAATGTGTGTGAGCATGTGTGTCAAAATGTGCACGTATGTATGACCCTCAGATTTGGCTCAAACTAGCAACACACAAGTGTATTGACCAGACTAAAGTACTTTGCAGAAAACAGTTAGTTAGTCTACTAAATTCATTTTAGATTATAATAAAAAATAAATTCATAAAAAAAACAATGTAGGCAAATTCCAGTGTTCTTTGGCTGTAGTGTGAGTTTGAAA